TCTTTCTTTCTTCCACTCAAGTTTTCCCATTTGAGGGCAGTTTTTTATCATGTGGTCAGTCTTACCACACTTGTAGCATCCCTCATTGGTCTGTTTCTTCGGAGCTCTTGATTTGTTGAAGTTTGTACCTCTTGAAGAACCCTTTCCTCTCATCAGGTACTTCTTGAAATCCCTAGTGATCATAGCCACTTCATCATCTTCCAAATCTGCACCTTCAGCAATTCTGAGAGCTAAGCTTCTCTCCTTTTTGGGGGTATCCATCTTCATGGTTTGTCTCCTCATTTCATAGGCAGTTAAATTTCCAATTAGTTCATCCAGTCTGAGAGTAGCAATGTTCTTGGATTCCTGAATGGCAGTGATTTTGCTTTCCCATGTGACTGGCAGAACTCTTGTCAGAATCTTCTCAACCTTGTCTTCCTCCAGGATAATCCTTCCAAGAGATTCAAGTTCATTTGTCAAAGTGGTGAATCTAGTATACATCTCCTGGATAGTTTCTCCTTCCTTCATAGTAAAATTCTCATATTGAGAATACAGAAGTGTTCCTCTTGATCTTTTCACTTGAGGTGTTCCTTCATGAGCCACTTGCAGAGTGTCCCATATTTCCTTAGCAGTTGTACAGCTTTGGATCCTACTGTATTCGTCTGGTCCTAGACCACATACAAGCCACTTCTTGGCCTTAGCATTTTTCTCCCACTTCCTCAGGTCCTCAGCAGTACAATCAGCCCTTGTTTTTGGCACATCAATTCCTTCAGCATTCTTCTTAGTGGTTGCTAGGGGACCATCAGTGACTATGTCCCAAAGTTCATAATCTTCCCCTATAATGTGATCTCTCATTCTGTTCTTCCACCAAGAATAGTACTGATCATTGAAAAGTGGAGGCCTGGCAGTGGATTGCCCTTCCCAGTTCCCAGGTGGTGCACTCATGTTGATCTTTTCCTAAGGGGTTAGCCTCTTCAAGGTTAACCTGCTCTGATACCAATTGATGTTCTAAACGTCAATACCACACAAGAGGGGGTGATTTGTGTGGTACCTAATTTTCGCACTAGAAGAACCTGGTTCTTCTAAATGCACTTACTATGACTGTTTGCGGAATTAAGAGTGCATAAAATAAAGAACACAGAGATTTTTACGTGGAAAACACCTGGCTCAAAAGGTGAAAAAACCACGACCTACTACTCAGTAGGATTTTTCCAAACTTCCACTAAAATCACTGAGCCAAAAACAGCATTTACAAACTCTTGTAAACCTAAGGATTAAACTCTAATCCCAGTGTGGCACACAGCCTCAACTGCTGCGACACTTTCAAGTTAACTCTAACTTGAATACTCAATATACCTATTACAATTGCTTCTATAAAAGTTGAAAGGTACAATATGAAACACCTACTACAATTGAACTAGAAATAAAGAAAAATACAATGGAATTGGTTCTTAACTCTTGGTTCATGTAGCTTCAGATTTGCACACTTGAATCACACATAAATTGCTTGCAAAATTCGCCTAGCTCTTTTGCTCTCAATTTAGTTTAACTTCTGCGTATGTGCAATCACTTGTAAAAGAGAACAATCTTTATTATTTATAGAGTTAGTAATCAGAGTTTGATTAAAACTCGAATTGCTGATCCTTCATCAAATTCGAGTCCTAGAACAACTCAAACTCCAATCTTTATCCTTGATCTGGATGTAGTTCTCTTTACATAAGGAGACTTCAACTCCTTATCCTATGCAACCTTTTCGATCAACTCTGAAGATATTGTTACTGATTGTTGCTGACCCTTGAGACTTAGCTTGACACGTCTGTCACATGAATAAAATATATCAACACTGTGTATGTCTCACATGATGGACCTGGTTCTTGGTTGAGTTCATTTTGTCAATCTTCAAAACTTCATCTGAACTTGGGCCAACACTTATGAACCAGACGATGTTCATGGTTGAAACGAACACTACAATAAGAACCAAAGACGGTTAAGGATTGATTGTGTGACTTATGGTTGTTTTTATACACCAAAGCTCGACAGTTCAAAGATAACAAATCTACCGATTGACCGAGTATATCCGACATAAGTTCACTACGGAAAGTTCAAAGGGAAACCTACTTATCCAGATGCGATTATTCCTCACTTGTGAATAACACAACTTTGTATGCATTTTTCATCATATAGCCATTCCCCATTCATGAGGGGGAATGTTGGATTTTTACTTAAATGGTGTGAATGGAAATGGAAGAGGCACCTCTTGAATTGCACCTCTTCCATTCACCTTTTCTTTGTCTATAAATTTAGAGGCTTGACCTCATTTTTTAGATATGGAAAATTTGAAAACTTCTCCTTTTCTTCTTCTTCTTTTTTACATTGTTGCATTATTTTTCAAATAAACATAAGTGTTAAATGTGATTTGCTCCGTTTGTTGAGTTCGCTGAAATTCTTTGATTTGTAATGCCGCTATCACAGAATAGTTATTCCGTTCTATTCTGGGAGGAATTAATCCAAAACATTCGGCAATAGTGAGGGAATTAAATTTCTCAAGGACACACAAGGAACTTGTGGGCTCTATTATTTTATGTTTTATTTATGGAACTAACGTTTGTTTGTTTTTCTGATTTTCTTATTTCGAACGCTGAGTACTAATATTTTTAATATAAATATAATATTCAAGCAAAAATAACTAAATTCGATCGAAAACACACAGAATAGGCTAAGCTCCGCCTCTGAATAGTACCACATTTCTTCTTCTATTGTCCTATGTTTGCTCTCAAAATTATAGTCTAGTAATAGTCACGTTACTAAAACGCTACATTTGTGGTCGCAATCCGACATGGACTAAAGATATGGTAGTATAAAAAATGATCAAATCAAAGACTGAAAAACAATAAAAAATGACTTTTAAGGAAAACGAATTTAGTCGTGACTCAACTTCAAAGGCCCCCACATAGTGATCCAGAAAATGACAATCGTTCAACTACTACAGCAATCATTCAATTAGCCGTGTAGGAGTTCCGTCGAACCCAGTAACTTTTACTTAAATAAGATATTTGTATTAAAATATTTTATCAAATATGTATAAATATTAAATTTAGAATCCAGATATTAATACTTGAACTTGTCATGCTAATATCCAAAACCCAAAATGTTGAAATCCGGGTTCCGCCTTTGTCCTATTCTGCAGGCTAGAATAACAGTGGTAGTTCTCTATATTTTTTTAATTTAGAAATAGCTAACTAGAGAGTAGTTTAAATTGACCCATCTAATAAGTCTTCTTGCAGCTGCAGCAGTTCTGGTTTTGTAATCTAATTTACTGATGGCAGAGGAAAAGATCACAAAATTTGCAGTCCAAAATGCAGCTGATCTTTCTGAATTTATTAAGAGTTACATACCATTCTTGAATGTGAGAAAATTATCAGATAAGGCCACTTTACCCAAACGAATGTTCACTCATTCTGCAGGTTATGATATTTTCAGGTAAATTTGCAACAATGTATTAGTAATTTCTTGACTAGTATTGCTGATCTATATCCAGACTAAGTATAATAACAGTTGTAGTATTTAGCCAGTTGGGTCCTAAGTTGTTCGGACTCTTCACTTTTGGTGACGCACCCGTGTCGACACGACATGGATCGGTACTGGATCTGGTCAACCGAGTTTGGGTACTTTAACCAAAACCAACATTTGGGAGTTGGGACAGATACAATAATTTTTGAAATCAAAACAAAAGTTACGATGTTACGGTGAAATTGAAGAAAATTAAATACTTTGTATATAGAAATTTCTATGTTAGTTCTTTTCCTTTTATCTCCTTCTCGGATTCTCCTCTTGATCCATATTTTTTCCTTCTAAAAGTACCTAATAAAATTTTCACGTAATGTTTCATAATTTAGATATATTCTTATAACTCTATTTTGAGATATTTGACTTTATTTTTAGCTGAAACCGTGCACCCATATCGGTATAGGGATCCATAGATTATGAAAGATCCGACCTCTAGATCCGCACCCATATCGGAGACCCGCACCCGAGTCCGAATAACTTAGGTTGGGCCACTGTGGATGCACTCGCTTCTCTTGTTTGAAATATTTATTGAATGTTCTCGGGCATCTATTGTAGTAGTAAAATATTTATTGTAGTATGTTTCGGAAGGATCTTCTTTGGTATTAAATATCAGTCAGCCTGCCTTCTTCTCTGTTGGCTGTTTTATAGGAAAACGATAAGGAAATAACTCGATTTCGAGTTCGAAACCATAAAGTTCAAATACTGGATTTGACTAAACCAGCAATTAGTCAGACTATTGCAGAATTCTTTGATAATCGTCGATCAAATATTTTTTCTACTCACGATCGTTAATTTAATCGTAGTGCAAGGGACATTACGGTGCCAGCTCGAGGAAAGGCTATGATTCCCACTGACTTAAGCATAGACTTACCTCCAGGAACTTATGGTCGTATTGGTAGGTTGCAACATCTTATCTGAGTACATTTTCGTTACAAATTACAGTGGCTTGATCTGTCTTTTAACAATTATGTTTTTGTTTCATACATAGCTGCGAGATCAAGTGTGGCTTGGCATCATTCCATTGATGTTGGAGGTGGAGTGGTTGATTTAGACAAGAATCCTGTTTTTGTGATACTATTCAACCATTCTGATGTTGATTTTGAGGTAAAAATTGGTGATAACATAGCACAGTTAGTCATTGAGTTACATGCCACACCTGATGTTGTTGAGGTCTATTAATAATCCTAATGTGGCATTTGAATTGGCAAATCCAATTCCAAGATTTGCTGGAGAAGATTATGTAATTATGTATGTTATGCAGTTGTTATTGTTTGGCTCTCATGCTCGGAGACGGTTCTAGAGTAGGTTCTTTGAGTTTAACTGAACTCATTGCTTTCAGCTCCAACTATGTATACATATGTTAAAAAATTCAAAACGTATACATATACAAGGATTGCACTCATTTAGTCATTTTCGAATCCTTCTGCTCTATATTCTGGATTTGCCTTTGTTCATGCTGGTGAATATTGTAATAGTTGTGTTGTAAACGCCTTTATGCACCCGACCTAATGTATTTGTGCCTTTTAATCCCAATAACCATCCATCAAAAAACTGAAAATGAATGAAACAATTCACCTATATAAAGTAATTGGAGTAGTAGAAAAGAATGTACATACAATCTTTATTTACATCATGAAACAGGCCATTCCAGTAATGATAAAAGGCTGGAATTCAGGCTAATAAGGATGAATTTATCTTATGAATAGACATGCTACAAGCCTACAAGTAACAGTATATGAATGTTGAAGATATAGTTTCTTACTATAAGAATGAAAACTATAGCCTAAATGGTGTTCGACATGTTGGACAAGCAGGTTTCCTTCGATCTCGCTCGATCTCCATCCTTCTTCGGTCTCGATTATGGCTGGTCTCGATCTTGATCGGTCATCAATCCATCTCTGTGCCATGGTTCGATATAATGCGGGGTCGAGCCTTGGTCTGCCACCCCGGTTCCGATACATCCCTGTTGAAATTACCAAGTACATGATGATGAACGCAATAATAGCAAAGCCTATTATTAAGGCGAAATACATAAACGACCCCTTTAAGTTGTCCCTAACGATCAAATAAACACCCTAACGGTACCTATTTCCAGTTAAACACTTCAAATGCTTATGAAGTATCTCAAGTAAACACCTTGCGCTGACATGACAAATCAGTTGTATCTCACCACAAATTGAGCGCGTGAGAACTTCAATCACGTTCTTTTCCCATTTCTTTTCAGTTTAAATTATTTTATTTGTGGCCCACACCCAAAGTTGTTCAAGAAGGAAAACAACAATACTCTAATTTCCGAAAATATCTCCTCTTCCATAAACCACCGTCCTCCGATGGGATTTTACCTGCTTCACTACCGACAACGGCAGATTCAATTTGCCTCACATTGATCACTTCAACAACTCCATTAATAATTTTACTGTTACCTTTATTATCATTAATATCAAATTGTCACCACCGACCGTAATACTTTCTTCAGTACTTTTTTGTTACTAGTGCCAATAGTAAAATTCTTGCTGGAGAATAATTTCTTCAACTTAGTGTATTTCACTTTGGGTTTGTTGTGTCTTTTAATTTGGTCCATGCAACTGATTTTTGGTGAAGTAGATTATCTCCGGATATATTAAAAGAAGAAGAAGGATTTATGGAGATATGAGTTTACATCTTTGATGGAAAGTTTCAGGGGAAGAAGAAGAGAAGCTTGGGTGAGAGAAATGGGTATTATTCAGCGAGAGATATTATTTTGTCTTTTATGTTGTTTGTTGGTCACCGGATGGCTGGCAGTCACTTCTCTCTCCTCCCTCGTCCCCTCTCGTCTGCCTCTACTTTGCCATCAAACCTGGTTGGATCCGCCGGAAAAAAAGAGAAATACCGACGACCACCATTTAAATCGGTTGGTTCCAGCTTGAAACCTTCAGATTTGACTAAATCTGACTAAAAAGGGAATTGAGAGGAGGGGTCTGATTTGGTTTTTGCTTTTTTATTAGTATTGTGTTTCTCTTTTCCTTTTATATTAATATAATAAGTTAGATTTTTTTAAGAAATTACGGGTGTCATCTTTTGATTTGTTAACTTTCCACGTCATCCGCGAGTGTAATTCACCCATAAGATCTGCCAGTCACGAGTGTGCATAAGACACATTAAAAAATAGCTTGAGGTGTCTACTTGATAAATAAGTCTGTTGAGGTGTTCAAATGACCGTTGTGGACAACTTGGAGGGATCATTTATGTATTTCGCCTATTATTAAAGAATAAAACATCATCATATATATCAAAACAGATAAAATAATACTACTACTCAAAAAAGAGTGAAGAAAACCAAGCTGACATAGTCTATTCTCGCTTGAGATAGTTACATGTCGTACTCTTTTTAGTCTCATGAACTCACGTTATGAAATTATAGGAAACCAAAAAATCCTATTAAAAGTTAAAACGCAATATTAGTTGTAACTTGATCGATCAGAGGTCCGTCCATCCCTTAATTCGCCATATATAAAGAGTTAAACAGAATTTAGAAAGAAACTAGCTGTCATGATTAACAAATGCGCCCTTCCTTCGTTTGATGTTTCTTTTACACTGAACCCACTGAGTTAGATAAATGGATCAGCGTGGAATTAATCTTTGAGAAATAATTCATATAATTAATGAAAGAAATTACATTACCTGTGGAATGATTGATCTTCCAACCATAGGAACGGTTTGTCTAAACTTCAAACTGAACATATATAGATTGTACACAAGTATCCTCCCTATAACATCATTATTTGTGCTCATATTTTTTTACCTTTATAATGACAATAACATTTGACATTTGGATTTTTTTTTTGGTCTCTTATAGACAAAAATTAACCAGAAATCAGTTTTTTCCTTTTTGATATTACATAAAAAAATGTATTTAAATTTAAAATCTCAAAATATATATATATATATATATATATATATATATATATATATATATATATATATATATATAATTAGATACTTATTAAAGAAAGCTAACATATAATTAATAAATTTATAACTAAACATACAAAGATTTTAAACTCTAAGGTGCACATTTTAAAGCTACTAGAAAAATAAATTCTTTCAAGATTGATAGAATACTTTGTAATAGTATAATGTTTCGTAGAATTATTTTCTTACAACGCTTGAATTAGAAAAGATTTGTGTCCAAAATTTCAGCAAAAATGATATCCGATAGCTTTCCTTGGAAAGCAATTTAAAAGCTTAACAATTGAATCTTCTATATAAATATTTTTTGATAATTTGTCTAACGGAAAAGATATCATGTGCAAATCTTCAAATCTTATATATTATGCAAGAAGATAACTTTGTTCAATGGAAAAGATTGTGTGCAAAATTTAGAATTAGTATTAATAATATTAGAGATCTACATGACTGTTATAAAGATGTGATTTTACAAGGAGCGTTCTATTATAAATATGAATGTTGTTATTATTATAGGTAAAAAATTGTTATAAAGAGGTAAAAATATAATTTAAAGTTTCGGTTCCGGTGAAAACTTATTTTTTATAGTAAATTGATGTTATATAAGTATATTATTATAGAGACTCTATATATATTTTCCAAAGTGATGAAAATAAATCCAAGATCATTTTTTCTTCAATCAAATAAATAATTTTTGTGTTGAGAGACTTCCAAGTGTTGAAAATCCTTCTTTTTGGTAGATAGTAGTAGTAGTGAAGTTATGCCAAGGGCTTCTCCAGAAAGGTATAAAGCCTCATATTCTTAACATTTTACTCCCATGCAGAGGCGGTTCGATTGAGTATCCTCTCCGCCAATCTTTTGAATTTTCTGAATATTCTAGTATTCATATCTAATTGTACTATTTTAGAGTGTTTCACCTGGGTGTCTCGAAAGGAGATCTATTACTATGTTTGCACTATTCTTCGAAAAATGTTAGCTATTGATAATAATCCATCTACCATTTTGGGCATAATTGAGATGGGTATGGCCAATTGTATAGATCTCTGTTATTGTTAAAAGTAACTCATAATACTTATGTTTCTCTGCCTGAATTGTAAAAACTGATAATCTTCACTAACTGGATACCCATACCCTTCTTCACCTTGCTTCTTTTGCTTGTTGAAACTTCTATCTACCTTCTGATTCTCTTATTATTTTATCATATGGGTGGATAGATATTTATGCTTTAGGGCTCCTTATCAAGACACTTACACGTCTTAGTACACACATAATCTACTGAAGACTTTATATTTACTCATCATAAGCATGATACAAAATCGAGTTCCTATGACTCAAATCTTCCACAGCCACATTCAATCTATTACCAACTATCGTTCTGGATGTAGGTATCTTTGTATTACGAATAAAACAGAATTTAGGAGTTTGAATTCTTACAGCAAAGCTCTACCACACGATCTAGAGTAAGAAGAAAGAGTGACAGTCCTAAATGCCACGTAGCCTCCTGCTTATAAGTGTGGTGCACAACACACCCATAAGCAAGACTCTACTAGACACGGAACTGCTCTGATACCACTTTGTTACGACCCAAACCGAAGGGACGCGATGGTCACCCGGTGCCTTACTCAACCAAATACCAACGTAACATATCTTTCTTATCATACTATCATGGGTAAATGAGCCTGAAAGGCCATCATGAGATAACAAGAATAAACATAAGGGAACACTTGACATATGACGACCCAACATGATATACAACTTATACATGTGACATACGGGCTATAAGGCCGAATTGATCATTTGGACACTCAAAACGTAGGCCGACAAGGCCATACAAGTATCCATATACATGACATCCCTACAAGCCTCTAAGAGTACATAAAAATCATAAAGGTCGGGACAGGCCCGCCGCCATACCAATCAATACATGTCCAAAGCATACTGACAAAATGGGCAACTCCGGAGCAAGTGGAGTGCACCAATACCTTCCGCTTAGCTGATAACCTACTAAGAGGACTGTCAACCTGTCAATTGGGACCTTCGGGCATAAAACGCAGCGTACCCAGGCAAAATGGACGTCAGTACGAATAAAGTACCGAATATGTAAGGCAGGAGAGCATAAATATGAACAATAATGTAAATAGAGGTAGAGAAGATACAACTTGTAACATCTGAGTGCCTCTGAGAGAGACTGACATGAAATGCATGATACGTAAATATATATATATATATATATATATATATATATATATATATATATATATATATATATATATATATATATATATACACTCTTTTAAAAACATACGCCCGGCCTCGTAGAGGACTCGGTAAAAACGTACCCGGCCATTATAAGGCTCGGTAGAATCATACCCGGCCATGTAGAGCTTAGTAAAACCCAACTGATCAGTGGTTGCACAATAGGTGCCGTACCTGGCCGACTATAGCGCGGCTCGATAGAGTAAAATAGATACATATATATAATACAT